ACAGTGTCGGCGTCCCCGGTGACTCCCGACCCCTTGCGTAGCTCTCGGCAGCACTACAGCGCCGCGAACGGCTTTCTCCCGGTGGCGCGACCAAATCGCGGAAAAGGTGGAGGTGAAGATGGCGACAGAGGCGGTTCCGGTGGCTGGCGTCTGTGAGTATGTGGAGGGGTCGTCGAAGAAGAGGACCGGTGTGCGGTAGCAACGACGATGGCGAGGGAGCGGGGGTGTGGAGGCGTCGGGTTGGAAATAGGACGAAGCGGAATCCAGGACGTCATCTCCATTGCCTACCGGAGCTCGTCGACGAGAGGAAGGCAAGTGCAGCAAGTTGGCTTCGTGGGGAAGGAGGCAGGTTGGGAGGCAAAGAAAGGAAGGAGGCGACAGGGAGAGAAAGTAATGGGAGAAGGCGGCGGAACCCTAGCCGCCACTTGAGGAGGAGAAGACTAGAGAGATGAGGAGACGAGCGAGTTTTACCTGGGAGGGAGGTGCTATCGGGACGCGTTTTCCTCTCTCTTCCTTGCTACTGTAGCAATCCGATAAAAATGGACATGTGTACCATGCCAACGAGCGCTCCTTGTGCGTACCTTATTGTTTTGGACGTGTATTCATAGAGGTGAGTGTGTGTTCCCCGCCAAAAAAAAAGTGAGTGTTTGTTAGTGTTGTCAGGATCTCTTTCTAGCGCGTTTCATGTGTTCCTGTGCCTGTGACAGTCTACCCGAGAGGCGGCCGGATTAGGCGTCGTGTTTTTATGCAGGTGGGGCCGTCGGATTTGGCATCGTGTTTTTGTGCATCTGGAAAACCTCTTCGTTGCTCGCCCTCACAAAAAAACTATTTTGACACTGTAAAAGAATTATACCGCGACAAAGCGAAACACGTCTGTTGGAGATGCTCTAAGAATAAATATGGAGATAAAGGTCCCCCTGTCTTAGTCCTCTGGTTGGAACAGATTCCTCAGTCTCAATATCATTAAATCTCGCTATGTGACTCACCGAGGACACACACTCCACTATCACGTCAACCCGGTGCAAATCAAAACCCATCTTGATCATTATTTCCTTTAGAAAACCCCCGCTCAACCCAGTCATATGCTTTGTTTATATCCAACTTCATCGTACAAAATAAGTTTTCTTTTTAATTGCATGAAAGCACTTATATGCAACCAAAACATTATTGGTTATTAGGCAGCCAGGAACAAAAGCACTTTGCGTTTTTGAGATTATATCGGGCAAAATTATCTTAAGTCTATTTGCAAGCATCCTTGAAAGGATCTTATAAACCACACTGCAAAGATTGATGGGTCTATATATCACATATGTGCCGGTGGTCCATGCATGAGGATCCAACCGGCATTAGCGACGGCCCGATCAAGTCTCTCCCGTAGTCCCCTACGGAACCACATTAACTTACGAAAATTCTATACACACGGGCATTTTACAGGGTTTTACGGGTTGTTTCCTAACAAATATTCTCTTCCCCCCTGATTTTCAGCGGGGGTGGGCCCCTCACTTTAATTTCATCCAATCATAACCAGCCATGTATCCCACTCCGTTGATCACGTAAGAGCCCGTGCGGGCGTGTAGCATTGCTCATTAACTTGTCACCCTCGTAGCCAATATCCTCTAGCAGAATAATGCTAGACATACAAAGGTTTACATGCTTTTACACGCTGACTAGGATCTTCTCAAACTAACTAACCTCTTCACCCCTAATTTTCATGAGATGGGCCCCTTCTCTCCCTTAATCTCTGATCAAAATTCACCTATATGTAAAAGCATGTATCTTTTTGTACGTGCAGCATTACTCCAGTCTACCTGAGAGGAGTGGAACGGTACACACCACCACCTCAACAGATCATTCCCATCTCAAAATAATCATTGGCTACAGATGCATCAACTACCTGGTGGACCTGCTGCTTCTGGCACTCAGATTATTTGGATCCTGATTATCCGGTAGAGGATGTAGGACGGGCGGCGCGCCACCGCCGTCAGACGCCTCCTTCTCCGACGATGACAACAGTGATGAAGACCACGTCCTGCCCGGTGCGGCGTCCATCGTGGCCTCCAGCACGGCGCGCGCCTCCTCGAGCAGCTCACCGGCCGGGCGACACGGCGCTCGGCCGTCGCTCACGGCGCAGCACCTCAGCCCGAGGAGCGCCACCTCGGTAGCCACCTCCGTCGGCCACCCCCCTGCGCTCGCGTCCACCACCTGCTGCCAGGCTCTGCCCCCGCCGGCGGCGGCCTCTAGTGCCGCCTTCTTCGCCCAACGCGCCGGCAGGCCCGTGACTAGCCGGAGCAGCAGCAGGCCCAGAGCGTGCACGTCGCACTGTGGGGTCGGCTCCCCCGTCGCGAGGTACCGCTTGTCCACGTACGCCAGCGCCTCGCGGCCGGCCCGCTGCTGCTCCGCCTGCACCAGGAGCCCGCGCATGCCGAGGCCGGCGAGTTTAATGGAGGAGCGCCGCTCGTCGCCCTGGTCTAGCAGGCGGATGTTCGCCGGGCGGACGTCGCCGTGCACCGTCTTGGCTGACGCATGGAGGAAGGCCAGCGCGGAGCAGACCTGGTGTGACACGCGGCACCGCGCCTTCCACGGCAGCGGCGGCGTCCCGTCGCCTCCTTGGTCGAGGCGGTCCTCCAGGCTCCCGCCCGGCATGAGCTCGTGCACCACGGCGCGTGCCTCCGGGCACGCACCGACGAGCGGCACGAGGCTCGGGTGCCTCACCCTGCCGATGGCGTCGGCCTCGCGAGCGAACCGTGCCTCGCCGACGGCGGCATCAGGGGAGATGACCCTGACGGCGACGCTCATGCCGCGCAGGCTTCCTCTGTACAGGCCGGCGCGGCCAATGCCAGCAATGCCAATCCTGGCAGACTCGTCGAAACGGCCCGTCGCCGCCTCCAGCTCTAACAACCCTATCCGGAAGGCATTGACACCATGATCACCATCCATTGCGCCGGGCATGGATTCTTCCGCAGCTCCAGGCGACCGACCAGTCTGTTCGTAGGGCTCGTCCTTGAGCTTCCCGTGCGGCGCATCGTCCATCTCGCCTCCGTCGCCCTGGCAAGCAAGATCGAATCCGAATGCATTGACAAATGGACCGCATTGTTCGAACGCTCAATGAAAAATCTTTGAAATTCCTGCACGTACCGAACCAGGTTTCGAAGACGTAGGCGAGTCATGGACGCCGACCGGCTCGCCGTGGCGGCCCGACGAGGATTTCGATGTGGAGCAGTCGTCGGAAGCAGCTGGCCTGGGGCTGGTGCTAGCCGTGGATGGCTCTCCTCTCCTGGTGCAGACGGGCTTTCCTTTGCAGACGAACCAGATCCTGCAGGAGGGGTTGGCCTTGAGCAGCACGGTGGCCGCCTTCTTAGACTTGGGCGCCCGCATCTTCCTGACAACAACGTAACATCCATGTCAAATTGTCCGCACGCAAGAGGCAGGCGGACTGCAACGTGCGAGCTCGCGGCAACCACACATACCTCGAGTAGGACCGGTCCGCGGCGGCGCCCATGACGAGCTCGGCCACGCCGTGGTCGGCGACGAGCTGCACCAGGGCCCCCGCCAGGTCGTCGCCGGACACGATGACCTTGCGCGCGCCGACCTGTAATTATTGCACTCGATAGTTCAATCAGTGGAACCAACAATAATTTGCTGCTGATGACAGCGACTAGGGAACAAACGAAGGAATGATAGGAACGAACCCGGTGGGTTTTGCAGATGCGGATGAGCTGGTCGAGGGCGTCGCTGGCCTCGTCCTCCTCCCACTTCCTGCACGCGGCCACCATGGCTGCCCCCACCTGGCTCACCGGCACCCACGCCCCCACTGCATCCATCCACCGGATGAACCAGGATGAGAACGAAGATGCTTGCTCCATTAATTTGGCACGAGCAAGTAAACTCAGGAACTTACTCATGTTGATGCGGTGCGGCGGGCGGTGGACGTGGGCGAGCACGAGGCGGCGGCCGGGGAAGTTGGCCAGCACCCACCGCAGGTTCGCCTTCCAGTTCCACTGCTCCTTCCCCACCGCGCAGTACACCTCCTCCTCGCCGGCGCCGGCTGCCGCCTCCTCCATGTACCCAGCTATATCGAGTGGTCGATGGATACTTCCAACTGATCAGCTTCTTTCTTGGGTTTCTTGCTCTCTCAGCAATGTGGCGAGGTCGAGGTCAAGAGAACACGGGAGGGAGGAGAGTATGTAGTGTCTACGTAATCCCGTTGACCAGTTTTTATTCTTTTTGTACGGGAAACTTGACTAGTCGTTGTTTGGAAGGCCGTACAAGGGATGGGGATGGCGATGGGGATGGGATATCCTAGGTGAATATGCTCCCACTATACTGGCAGGATGAAAAAGAACTTTGACAACCAATTATTAGATGTTTCTTAGTATCATGGATCACTGCATGACATTCACGATGAAGCATACTTAAACTCAACTACATAATTGATAATCCACACATTTGACCAAATAAACAAAATGCTAGAAAATGGAGCATCTAGCTAGTTAGCCCTAAATTACTGGCTTTTTCTCATGAGAAGTTCCCTTAATTATTACTCCTTCCAAACCATAATATAAAAGGATTTTTATACTAAAGCGCTCTTATATTATGGGACGAAGGGCAAAAGAACGCTCTTATATTAGGGACAAAGAGAGAATTATGGCCCGGTCATTCTGTAATAAAGAAAGGCCCAAGCCCAAAATCGATGCAGATCTACGAAGTTTAAAGGAAATGAAAAGAAAATGCTTCGCCAAGATCAGACGCATTCAGTTTGGCATTCTATATTTGCATTATTGCGGCTTGGACTTGGATTGGAGATGACATCACCAAGCTGGTCCAACAATATATGATAAAGGTATCAGTCTTCCTCGCCTTCTATAAACACATATACTCGCTTATTTCTGAAAGACTGGTCTCTAGTTGTCGCCGAAACTTTAGGTCTATCAGCCTCCGTAATATCATCTACAAAACCGTCTCAAAATCAATTGCTAATAGACTAAAATCTCACCTCCCAACAACATTCATCCAATGCAGCAGACTTCCACGCAGGTCGCAAAATTTATGAAAATGGACAAACCTGGCTTTTTTAAAAAAAAACTTTAGCACATAATGAATTGAATAAAAATTACCCCCCTTTGACATCGTATAAAAACTCCGCCAATTATTAAGATCGAAGGAAGTATTATAAAATGGTCCATTTTGCATGACGCCCAAGGTGTCGTGCTATCTTACCATGGTGTCCCAGCCCCGGTCGTCATGCTATCTAGCATGACACCCCAGTCCAGGTGTCATGCAAATGGATCATTTTACGAAAAAAAATTGAATTTGGTTCATTCTATGCTAAAGTTTCAGAAAGAGCCAGATATGTCCACTTTCACGCAAATTTTTCACTAATATCATTCTTTCTTAAAAGAAAATTACTCACCGGGATCCGCGGGACGTTTGGAGGGGCTAATAACATGCATGAAGCGAGTCAAAGAAAAAATAACGTGCAAGAGAGAGAAGCCAGCACATAGATCAGGTCTGCACAGTTAATATGGGTAGGGTCTTCCCTAAAAAAATGGTAGGGTCCACCCTCCACCGAGTAGTGAAGATCTAAGGGCTAAGCTTGTTAAATATATCAAATAAATGGTCAGATATTCTTTATTATTGTGAATTTTTCTAGTATATCTCTCTATTTTTTATCCGTATTTTGCTTTTGATGTAAAGAAATATTAGATCTTTTAGATAAAGTAATATAAGACGGAAGAGGATTTGTTGCCTTGGTGCTCCACAGCCCTATATGAACATTAAATTCAAAATAATACCGGCAAATTTCAGAAAAAGTCTGAGGTTTTAGGATATGAAACCTAGATGCTCAATCTATACTTTCGTGTGAAATTTTCTGAAAAAATACTAGGGAACGTATCCGTGGCAAAAAAGACAAAAAATATTCTATATATAGAAAAAAGAACTGTTTGTATAGGTTTTAGTTCGGATTGTATCTTTTTCGTCACGGATACCTTCACTGGTATTTTTGTGTGAAACTTCGTTTGGGATTATATTGGGCACCCAAGTTTGAGATCCCAAGATTCCGGATGAATAGTTAGGCACCCCATCAGGGTTGTGGATTTATTTCTGAATTTACTTCAGGATTTTCGGCGATGTGCATTCAGCGGGAGGAGATGTTCCCATTGAATACGAGGCGCCAACTTTGATGATATGTTGGCTCGGTCTCTCGGAGACCAGAGTTCTATATTTTCTTGCTATTTTCTTAATTCAATTTTCGTCAGGGGGCAAAGCACTCAAGTGCTCCTGTGTATTTTCCAACATAGGACGCTTTAGATTAGTACTTTAGTACCGATCTAAAAGGTCTTATATTATTTCAGAGGGAATAATAGATGGATAGATTTTGGTAAATCATGCTTACGCCTTCAGCATTACAGCAAATGAAATGAAGGGTCAACACCACAATAACAGCAGTAAAATTCAGCGATTAACCTACTCCATTTCATCGACTTACAGAGCACAGAACAAAACCAAGCAACAGATACTCAACTAGGAAGCACATCAGCAGAGGGAAAGACATGACAGGCAGGTTGCTCTCTGTTTCCAGCACACATATCTACAAGCTACGTACACATATGCAAGTTTCTGATCTCATCAGCCCCGATACGACCGGCTGCGGCGAAGACTGCTTCAGACCCTACTTGCTCTTGCTGCTCTTCGACCTAAGTTCCGCGGCCCCGGCCTTGATGCTGGACTTGGCGAGCGACGTGGGTTTCAGGACGCTCTTCGGGTTCAATGCCTGCCGGAGCTTGAACACGGCCCACGCCGTTCCGATGGCGTGGCCTGCAGCGTCGAGCCCTTCGTTGGTGGCCGCAGCAGCTTTCTCTCCGTACCTGACGAACAAAGAAGAAGCATGGTGTGAGGGGAAGTGCCCAATGTTCTGGTCCAAGAACCAAGAGAGGGAGTAGAAACAAGGTTGCGCGGTAGAATAAAACGTACTTGTGAGATACAAGACCGGTCGTCACCGTCGACGATGTTGATAGCACATCCTTCCCAGCCACTTCTACGGCGTCGGAAATCTTGCCTGTTGACACGAGTAGAAGATACATAAGCAGGATGGAACAATAGAATACCAGAAGAAAGTAAGTTCCCCTGTTACTTTCAAGAATGATGTTCAGGCACACAGAAATTCCATACAACTAAAAGTTAGAAACAACTGAGCAGATTATTTGATAGAAACTATTTTGCAAGAGCAAGTGCAGATCACAATGTGCTCCTAGGAGATCATGTTATCACTAACAAGATTCACAGAAATGTTCCATGAGAGCCGGCATCCCTAAATATTCAGATTTAAGGAGCCCCAAATATTCAGATTTAAGGAAGTATAGTGGCAGTTGGCAAGAGAGCTGACTCCACTATATTGAGGCAAGTTCAACTAGCATATAGAGTAAACAATAGCCATTTTCACTGTATAGAACTTGACGGCATCACCACAGGGTGAGTGTCTGTACTATAAGTAATCGCTGCCACGTGTCTGTACTTAAGTAATTGCTGCCAGTGATTTCGCTATGAATATGGTGCCAGTAGCTGATAGCTCAACTAATATTGACAACCTTTTTGTGAAGAGAAGCAGCAGCAATTAACCATTTTTAATGTAGGACTGAAGCAAGACATAATGTGTATAACATGGAGAATGGAGGGTACAAGGAAAAGAGAATTGCCAACCGATTTACTCCCCTTCCTAATTGTAGAATACCAGGGGTTAAATGGCCACTAAAGGACACCCACAGGCTGCTTACTTTCAACTAGTAAAACTTAGGTGATGTTTCTACACTTCTGTAGGCAAGTTCAAATTAAATGTGCCCCTTTGGTATATTGTTCATGTTTCACGGTATAGTGAAAGTTGGCATCTTTTTCATGATTCACATGGCAAATACCTTACCGACAGCACAAGATGTACTACAACCAATATTAACTTAGGTCACATTATTTTCAAGAAAAGGATCACATACCAAATCCATCAAGCGAAGCAAGAATAACCTCTCCAGGCAATAGGCTGAAGAACTTCTTGCCAGCTTTTGAGTTAACCAATGAGCTTGTAACAGAGCTAGTAAGCTTCACAACTCCAGACAGTATTCCAGTTGCCACTTTCTCGGACATTTTTGTCACCTTTTTAGCCCTGCCAGCAATCACATGCACATATTCTTTAAGACCAACAGTACCAGAAATATGTATTTAACTGAAATTACATATTCTGTGTAATTAAGCACAAGGAAGCCTAAAAACATAAAAGCAGAGCAAGGCCAGAAATCTCAAAATGAAACAACACAATCAGCCTAAGGAGCACAAGTTTAAGTTAGTCCAGTTGCAAAATTCATCAAAATGCAGGTGTCTACAATGAAAGAGTCTTTTGACATGAGTGCTTGTGATTCTGCCTATATGACACAATATGCAATCACGGAATCAAGCTATAGCTAGAATTCACCAATCACCATACAGAACAGGACTAACCAGCCAAGTTTAACATAGCACCAGGGATGTCAAACAGCAGAACAAGTAAAACAAGTGCAGGTGTCAGCACGATAACATGATTAATTTGGGGGAGATTATCCATACTAATCATAAAGATTTTTAACATGACTGAAATACCACCGAATGGAAATGAGATACCCATTGAGGCACATTGTATCACGATTTAAGCTACTAATCTAATCTAACTATGAACTGTGATGTGCCCAAAACATGAAGCATTTACTGATTTATGAATCACAAATTGCACTGAATAAGTTCGCATTACTGCAAATTAGAAACAGATTCAGTATGAAGAACTGAGAAAGAAAGCACTACCTTTTGATCCGCCGGAGCATCTCCGGGCTGACCTCGGCCTCGGTATCGCCGGGCTGGATCCTCTTCCTGAGCACCTCCTGCCCCCACCGGAGCCGGTCGACGGTCATCACCCCGCACCACAGGATCCCCCTGGCCACGTTCTCGGCGCCGGACGCGATGGCCCTGGCCACGGCGCTGCCGTACTCCTCGACGTTGGGCGCGACGGCGGTCCAGTACGCGGCGGCCTCGACCTCGCCGCGCA